CTCACGCCGGGCGCGTGTGCATGCATGCCCACGATCCCGAGAGGAGAATGGAGGAGAAGGGATTGCGGTGTGGCCATCCCCCCGGGGGGTGATTCTCGCTTTCTGTCTCTCTGTCTCTCTCTCTCTGTCTGGTGAGCGCACGCGTCCTATAGCAAAAACCTCTCCGAAAAAAAAAAAAAGATCCTGTTGGGGGTATCTATCTCCTGATGGAAGAAATGAATCAACAATTAAAAAAAAATAATAATTCCAGGGAAACCTTGTTTAGGACAAACCTAGTTTTAAAAAAAAAAAAAATCTCTGTTTTTTGCTTCTCAAAAGGGGACAGAAGGGCCCACAGATAGAGCTTAAGGCAGCTGGATCCCACATGGCCGACCTCGCAGTTCAAGTCCTGAGCTTGGAAATCACACCAGATTCGTGTGTGTGCATGCCCAAAATCCGGAGAGGAGAATGAAGGAGAAAGGACTGTGGCACGGCCGGCCCTCTGGGGGTGATTTCTCACTTCCCCCCTCTCCCTAGTGAACACATGCACCCCACAGCAAACCGAAAAACAAAAGGCGGGGAGACAGCAGTGTGCACTGGACACTGCTACCCGGCAGGCTGAGGCCACATGGGAGGCCCGGCGCCATGGTCTGCCCCCGGACCGCTGGATTTGACAGCACACGCCGCGAGCCCTGCTGCTCAGGAGGCTGAGGCAGGAGGCTGTGATGCAGAGATCCCGTCTAAAAACGGGAAATACAGCCCACCTGCCCACGCGCCAGAGGGAGAGACAGGTAACAAGGCGGAGAAAGCGGCTTCGGGAACCAGCGCCTGGGCATCAGGACACTCTCGGCACCCACCCAGCCCACGGACGTGGCTCTGGGGACCAGGGTCAGCAAGCCCTCCAGATGACTCAGGCTTGGGAACAGGGCCCAGTGCCAGCGCCCAGGCCTGACGACCACGGCTCTCTGTGGTGCCCTGGCCATGCTCAGCCCACTCAGGGCCCAGGCTCAGCAAGCGCAGGGACTGCCCTCCAGCCCGTGTTGATCCGGCTTCCAGCATTATCCCCACCATCTGACAGGCGGGCAAGGTGCTCGGGCCGCGCTGAGGCCCAGTCCAGGGAAGCGGGGTATGGGACTCCCTGTCCTGGCCTGTCCTGAGGGCAGGGGCCGGTCACCCCAGAGCTCTCCGCCGTCGGACCCGACTTCGATGGGAACAGAAGCAGGTCTGAGGAGCAGGGGTGCCGGCTCACTCACCAGGTAAACGTCACAGAGGCTGTGCAGCCAGAAGTGGTGCAGGGCGTGGGTGACGAGCGAGAGCTCCCGGCTCAGGAAGCCCCGCTCGCACTCCCGGGCGGCAAGGGCGAGGCGGCTCAGGATCCAGGCATCCATGGGGGAGCAGGGAGACAGCTGTGGGCAGGGGTGCTTCAGGACCAAGACGGCTCGGCTTCCACACTCCTGCCTCCTCTCCTTCCAGACGCCCAACTGCCCCACTCCCGCGCCTCTGCAGCTCACCTCCTCTGCAGGCCGGGGTACGAACTCCTCTCCGAGGGCACTGAGGATGAAGCGCAGAGCATTCCAGATCTTGTTGCAGAAATGCCGGCAGCTCAGGACCTCGGAGACAGAGAGGCGCAAGTCGCCCCCTGGATGGGAGGAAAGGAGGGGGTCTGCCCATGGCTGCGGCACTGCGGGAATTGCCATCCTCCAGCCACTGCAGGGTGCCCCGACCCTGGCCGCCCCAGCCCCCTCTCACCCGGGCTTACCCAGAACCCCATGGGAGCACAGTGCAAATCTCAGGGCATCCGTCCCACACTCGGGGATCCCGTGAGGAAATTCCTTTTTCTGCAGCCGGAAGAAAAGGGGGCAAACGGTGATGAGGCTGCAGGATCAGCAGCCCGGGTTTCAGGGAAGGCAGCAGCCACAAGCCAGAGGCTGGGACTGCGTATACCGGCGACACACCTGTGCTGCAGCTGCAGTGGCCAGCTCTGCGGGGTCCAGGTTCCCGTCCCTCAGCTTCTCCTGCAGCACCTGGGGACAGGAGAGGACTTTGCTGGGCTCTGCCAGGCCCCCCCTGTGCCGCCCGGTGGGCTGCTGCCCTCAGGCTCACCTCCTCTCCCACACCCCGCCCCGAGCTGGGCCCTGCACCCTCACCCGCAGCTGCACCCCGCAGATGACGTCCCGGGGGTCCAGCACATTGCCCAGGGACTTGCTCATCTTCCGGCCCTGCCGGTCCCGGACCATGGGATGGAGGAGCACCTGGGGGACGGAAGGGTCGGGAGAGAGAGTCCTTCGGGATCTCTGCCTCCATACTTCAGGGATCAGGGTGGGGAGTGGGTCCGGAACAAGGGGGCGAGAACATGGAAAATGGCACAGCAGGGCTTGGAGGGGAGCACATGGTTTGGGGAGAGCGGGGGCCGGCCGGGCGGGGCTGGGTGGAGGACGGTTACCTTGCTGAAAGGGAGCTGCCCCGTGAGCTGCGTCCCCAGCATGACCATGCGGCCCACCCAGAACAGCAGGAGGTCGCTGCCCGTTTCCAAAAGTGACAGTGGGTAGAAGCGAGCAAGGTCTGGGGTCTAGGAGGGAGCAGTGAGCATGAGCGCCCCGCTGCCGCCGGCTCTTCGGAGACCCCGCATGGGCCGCCGCCCACCTTCGCTCTCCCTCACCCCACCTCACCTCCTGGGGCCAGCCCAGGGCAGAAAAGGGGAACAGAGCCGAAGAGAACCACGTGTCCAAGACATCCGGGTCTGGAAACAGAACAGGGGGTGGAGCTTCGGGCTCTGAGACTTCTGCTGCCCACCCCTTCAGGCCGACCCCACCCCCAGAAACCAGAGCTCTCGCCTCCTGCTGCACTCCCCCTGCCCGACCCCACCTGCTCCTTCTCAACACCTGCTCCCTTCAAAGACCCAGACGCTCTGGCCTGCCCGCCGCTCACTCACCCCTCTCCAGGGCCAGCTCCGCCCCCGGCCTCCCGGTCAGCCGCGCCGCCACCTCTCTGGCCTCAGCCTCCGACCGCCCGACCACCCAACAGTCCTCCCCGTGGCCCTGAAGAAGTAAGCGGGGGAGAGTGACCCACAGGCCTGTCCAGGACGTCCCTTCGTCCCCGTGTTCTCTGTGTGGCCTCCTCGGGGGAGATGAAGACGCCGGCTCGGGACCCCATCGCCCAGCAGGGGACAGGGTAAGAGCACGAGGCACACGATAACAGGCGGGAGCCGG